CATCCATGGGAACGGGGGTAGGTTCGAACTTCCCCGGGTCACTGGCTGAAGTGACCCCGCTCAGTTCGGTCTCGAAGGGGGGAGATGTGACGAACTGGGTCTGTTCTTACTGTGGTCTGTGAATGCTGACAGGGGAGTGTGGCTGGGATGGTCGGCATTGGGGGATGGGAGACTGACTGAAAATACCTGAGCCTGTAACATGAGAACCCAGGAGGGGGCTGGGACCAGGTGACACCTTTGCCCGGGAGACTGAACAAAGGCTGTGGGTGGGGTGGCTGAAGGTAGAGTCTGGGAAGCTGGCTGGTGAGGTGGCTGGGAGGCAGGGAGGGCTCTGACCTCCGGAGGGGGAGCTGGGGTGCCCAAGGACCCCAAGATGGACCTAACTGTGGGGTATCCTGTTGTCTGTGCCTGCAAGGCCTGTCTTGGACTGTATTCCTGTCATCTAAATAAACCTTCTGCTTTACTGGCTGGCTGAGAGTCATGGTGAATCGCAGGACGCCGGGGGTGCAGGGCCCTGAGTCCCCCCATACTCCGTGACACCCCCCCCCAAAGATGCAGTCGCCTCTGGGGCGGAGCAGCCTGGCCCCACCCGCCCGGCCCCCCCCCGAAGATGCAGTCGCCTCTGGGGCGGAGCAGCCTAGCCCCACCTGTCCAGCCCCCCCCCCCAGCCACCCCGAGACGCAGCCACCTCTGGGGCGGAGCAGCCTGGCCCCACCCGTCCAGCCCCCCCCCAACCCCCCCGAGACGCAGCCGCCTCTGAGGCGGAGCAGCCTCGCAGCCACCTCTGCCCTAGACCAGGGAGGGGTCGGGGGGCACCTGGGACTCCGTCATGGCGTAGAGATGGGTCCCGCTGCCGTCCAGGAGGAGATCGGGGCTGACGGGGGAGCGCTGGCCGAGGCGCACGGAGCTGTACACCTGCCCCACGGAGGAGTTCAGATACACCTGCATGGGGGATGGGGAGGGGGTTAGGCACAAGGGGGGGGCAGCCCCCTCTCCAGCGGCCTCAGCCCACACACGGCCCTGCTGAGATGCACCAGCTCTGGGGTGGAGCCCCCCACACACACCTTGTGCAGCTGCCCCATCCCGTCTCCGAGGAAGGCGATGGTGTGTCCGGCTTCCGCCATTGCTGCCACGGCTGTGAGCGTCGGCAGCCCAGTCACCAGGGCGCCGGCTTCCACGGGCACACGGCCGGCGATGGGGCTGGGGGTGTGCTCGTCTCCGCAGGGGTAAACGTCCGGGGACTCCTGGGGCGAGACACGCAGGGGTGAGCAACGGGCCTGGGTATCCGGGGCCCCATCAGGGGCAGGGTGGGGGCCGGTTACCCGGGGACCCGTCGGGGCGGGACAGGGGGTCGGTTATCCAGGGACCCCTCTGGGACGGGGTGGGGGACTGGTCACCCGGGGACCCCTCCGGGACAGGACGGGGGGCTGGTCACCCGGGGACCCCTCGTCTGGCACCAGGACACAGGCGCTGCCCCGCACAGACCTTGGGCAGCTCGGCGCAGCGGGACGTCACCCCGTACTCGATGGCCGCCTCCTCCCGGCCCCCCGGCCCCCGGCCCCCCGCCGTGTAACACGCCCGCCGGGTCCTCTCCACGGCCGCGTCCAGCTGGGCCAGCGGGAAGGCGCACAGGGCCGTCTGCGGGCCGGGGGTGGCCGTGGCCCCCTGCCCCACGGCCGCCAGCACGAAGAGCACGTCCCCCCCGGGGGGCGCCAGCTGGGCTAGCTGCCCGGCCCGGGCCAGGTTGTAGTGGCGCCCGCGGGGGTCCCGGCACTCCAGCGGCACCTCGGCGTAGGAGTAGAGGTGCAGGTCGCCGGCGCAGAGGCGGGCCAGGTAGGGGCGATAGTCCAGCTGCCCCTTGGTGCCGCGGCGGGAGAAGAGCAGGTAGACGTGCCCGCCGGCCGCGTAGGCCCCCGCGTAGCTGTTGTTGTAGTCGGAGAAGTCGCCCACCACCAGCTTGCCCATCCCCTCGCTGGAGAAGGCGCCGGGCCCTGCCAGGGGCCGGATGGTGACGGGCGGGATCCCGCCGGAGAGCTTCCCCGTCAGCCCGCGCCCCACGAAGAGCAGGTCCCGCCCGGCCTGCCGCCCGAGCACGCCCACCGTGGCCACCCGCGGCTCGTTGGCCGCCACGAACTGGCTGTCGCCCGGCTCCTCGGGCCGGTAGAGCACCCGGCCCACGTCGGCCAGCGCCCGCTTCTCGCACAGCCCCTGCGCCAGCTGCCCGCAGACCACCAGCTCCCCGGCCGCCTCGTTGGGCAGCAGCAGCTTGTTGGCGTTGTCCGTGGGGCGGGCTTGGGGGCAGTCCTGGGGGTCCCGGAAGGGGAGGCACTCGGGGCTGTCCAGCTCCGGCCCGGTCCGCGCCCGCCCCTCCAGCCCCAGCTCCGGCGTCAGCTGGTACAGGGCGTTCACGGCCCCCACGTACACAGTCCCCGAGCCGCTGGCGAGCGCCAGGTGGTTGAAGGTGGCGTTGGGGGCGGAGAAGGAGGGGTAGGGGTGGGAGGGGCAGGGAGGGGCGAGGAGGAGGAGGAGGAAGGGGGCCAGGAGGGAGGGCATGTCTGAGGCCTGAGAGAAAGAGAGAGAGAAAAGGGGGACAGGGTTAGGGGGACCCAGGAGATGGAGCACCTACAATCTCCGGGGAGAGAACCCAGGAGTCCGGGCTCCCAGCCCCCACACCCAACCGCTGTAACCACCAGACCCACTCCCCTCCCAGAGCTGGGGAGAGAACCCAGGAGTCCAGGCTCCCAGACCCTCCCCTCCATCTGGAGGAGGATTTAGGATGAAGATTGATTCTCTGCCCCCCCTCCCCGGCTCACTGAGGTCTCCGCTCAGACCCTCGGGAGGGGGGCACACGACAGTGAGAGCTCTGGGGGGGGGGCCCAGGAGCACACCACAGCGTGGGGGGCTCAAGGGGGGGAACCTAGAGCACGGGACCTGGGGCAGAATGGGGGCACTGGGGGGGACCTGGGGCAGAATGGGCGGGACCTGGGCCAGAATGGGGGTGCTGGGGGGGGACTGGGGCAGAATGGGGGGGACCTGGCGCAGAATGGGGGCACTGGGGGGGGGACTGGGGTGCGTGCGACAGGCAGGGGCCCAAGCGTGCGAGGAGACCAGGGATTTGCATGCTAGCAACATGATGTGGGGGGAAGAGACCCCTTGTGCTCCCCCTGCCCCCCCATTCCCTGTCCAGGGCGGGGAAGGCCCCTCCCACCCCCTGCCCCAGGCTCAGTGCAGCTGGGACAAACTGCTCCGCCCCCCCTCCCCCCCCGTCCCTGAAGGGGCACCAAGGACTGAAATCCGGCCACTGACACACACACACACACACACACACACCCC